CTCCGCATCTCTGGCCTGTACCCCAGTTCTGTATGAATAAATAAATAAATCTTTAAAAAAAAAAAAAAGTTTATCCATGCATTTATTTTATATCTTAAAATTTCTCTAATCAAAATTTCACAATTTATAACGCACAAGTCTTTCACAGCTTTTGTTAGATTTACCGAGTGCTTAATTTAGATGCCATTTTAAATAATACTGTTTGCCTGTTCCAATTGTTCACTGAAACTATAAGAAATATAGTTACAAAAATATCATTTTTATATAATGATCTTGTATAATACAATCCTGATAAAGATGCTTATGTATGAGTTCTAGTGCTTTGTTGTAGAAGTCATCAAAATTTCTACATAGGTAATAATGTGAATAAAGACAATTCACTTCTTTTTTTCCAGTGTAGGTTACCTTTTATTTCTTTTTTTTTGCTTACAGCACTGGCTCCTTTTCAAGAGAAATGATAACCAAAGAAGCTACTAATGACTAAAAGCACCTGAAAAGATACTCAGCATCATTAGTCATAGCAGAATAATTCACAACGGCCAAAAGGTAGAAATAAACCATGTTCATCAACAAAAGAATGACTAAGTAAAATATCACTATATATTATATATAATAGTTATATATAATATATATATTATTCAGTTATAAAAGGAATTAAATTTTGATCAATTATGCATGAATAAACATAGAAAACCTTACACTAAGTGAAATACGCCAGGCTTCATAGAAGACAAACATGATTTGACTTATATGAAGTACTAAACTAGACAAATTCATAGAGACAAAAAGTGGAACAGAGATTACAAGGGACTGGAGAGCGAGAACAATGTGAAATTACTTTTTTTTTTTAATAATATAATAGTTTGTTTTTACATAATTTTGTGCCTTTTTCCATCTCAGTTGTAATCTCCAGGGGCTTCCCATCACCAAATCACCAGTGTGTCATCACCATAGTTCAGTGTGGAGTTACTTTTTAGAGTGCAGAAGTTTGGTTGGTAATAATGGAAAAGCTCTGGACAGTGGTAAGGGCGACACAACACCACCAATGCATTTAATGCTGCTGAGCAGTACAATCCCAAATAGTTTTGAAAAAAGACAGCATATCCAAAGGATCTCTCCATATTAAATGTCTAATCTTCTGTTAAGTTATAAATTGCTGAAGTCTACTTTCTGGGTATAAAAATGCCTTTGTAGCTATTGTTATAGATTACCTTTTGATCTTTTGAAAAGACTATGCCAATTTACCATAGCAATAAGTATTATATTTATGGTCGCATGAATGACATAATTGTAATTAGATTTATTGTATTTGAGTAAAACTGCAGGGAAAGTTGCTCTAACACACACTTCTTTGAAATAAATAAATGGAAAGAAAGAAGTGGAAATTCCTTTCTATTTGAGGTTTTTATCAGGAATAGATATATTTTACACACTTTCTCTATGTACTAACAGGATGGGTTTTTTCACCTGTTTTTTTAGTAAGTCAAATACAGTGATTAATTTTCAGGTTACTACCAAACCCTGCAATTCTGGGAAAAGCCTGGCTTAATCATGATATATTATTATCTTTTTTTATACAGCCTTAAATTATATTACTTAAAATTTTGTTTCAAATACTCTATATGTTAATAACAGCTATTAGACTGTAGTTTTCTTATCTGGCTTTGGTATCAATTTAAATGTTAGTCGCACAGAATGAAATTAGAGAGAATTTCTTCCTCTCCAATTTTCTGAGTTTATCACTGACAAATGTCTTCCTTATTAAATGTATAGTAAAATTCACCTGTGAAATGATCTGGAATTCTATTTGATGGTTATGTCCTTAAGTACAAAATCAATTTATTTAACAAAATAGCATTACTCTAGCTTCTTCCTGAGTTAACTTTTGAAGTTTGTGTTTCTCCTGTTCATTTAGGCTGCTACAACAGAAGAGCATATGGGTGACTTACAGCAACAGAAATTTATTTATCAGAGTTCTGGAAGTCCACTGCTCTAGCAATTACCAAGAGAGTCATAATGAAATCTCTGATTATAATGGTAATTTTTTCTATTTTTTCCTTGCAATTCTATTAGTTTTTTTGCTTCATGTATTGTTTTTAAGGGCATAAACATTTAGAATATACAGCTTTTTGATTAATTGGCCCCTTTAAAAATATGCAATGACCTTCTTTACCTTTGGTAAAATTCCATGCTTACAAAAACTAACAAGAGCTTCTGAACTATTTGTTAAAAACTAATTTAGAAATATAATTTAATAGTTAAATTTCACTTTCCAACTGTAGCTAAGATAATCTTTCAGAGTTAATTTTATTTAACTTTATGTATTTCAACAAATAAATGCTATTAACATAAACACTATTAACCTCAACTTATTAAATGTAGTCACTTAAGTTTCAAATATATCTGCTGCTCCTTGGTTTTCATATGCCACATTAAGCACTATTCTTCTTTTATGTATTGGGTAACTAGGGGGGGGGGGGAAATAGGTGCATAAATTACCTAACTTCTTTCCACAAAATAATAGGTTTTAAATTTCAAAAAAAAAAAAAAAAGTATTGCACTTGGGGATTTATTAAAAACTGATGCTAAAGAGCTGCCATTTTACTTCTGCTATAAAACTTTTTCCTCAAATTTAACTCCTATATAGGCCATCTCAATTCCAACAAGGCATCCAATTAAAACAAATCTAACAACCTCACAATATGAAAATACAGATTATAGCACCAGTGGAAAGATAAAATTTTAATTCATAAAACAGATGCACCCTAGGTGTTCACAGCAGTATGGTCACAATAGCCAAGACATGAAATTAACCTAAATACCCATCAACAGATGACTAGATAAAGATGTAGTCTATTCACTCAATGGAATACCACTCAGCTCTTTAAAAAGATGAAACTGCATTTTGTGGCAATATGATTGGAACTTGAAGGTGATTATGCTAAGTGAAATAAGTCAGAAAATGAAAGAGAACTACAACAAAAACTGTAAGATTGAAAATACAGTGGTGGGAGAGAAATACAGAGGGGAGGAAGAGGGTAATGTGATAATATAGTGGTATAGGAGCTACTGTTAGTGGTTGAGTGAAGCAGGTGCAAACAATAGGCTGCAAACTACAAAAATCAATTATGTAAATGGTAGTAATCAATATAATTTTAAAGTATTACTTCATGTATTATGAAAGCATATTTGCCCTTATTTAAATTTCTTCAGGCATACTATAGTAGAAACTCATACCATAACAAAGTTGTTTTGCAAACCAGGCCAAATGAATACTTGCCTCTGACTCAGCAGCTTTCCTTTTTACTTTATAACCTGTACTTAAATTGCAAGGTTAGGACTGACACCTAACTTTCAAACTGTGCAGCAAAGCCAGTGCAGTATCAATATTTGTCTTGGCAGGAACTAGTGAAAATATGGTTTTGGCCTTAACTGGTAGATATATAAAGAGCAAGCTGTACCCTGTAGGATGATTAGCCTGAAAAATTCTCGGTTATAGCTACAAGTTAGCATTTCTTACAGCTATTTAACTTGCTTCTTTATAGACAGCACCTTAACCAAATAACCTTCCACTTCTGGCATCATGAATTGTTACAGCCTACACATCGCTGCAAGTTCCTTGCAATTTAAAACATTTGCCTTTTACTAAGTCTCCACACCAACTCTACTGCCAATTTCTTCGGCTGCAAGCTCAAATTTATACCACAGAATACTATATTTACGTTCAATATCAGAATGCAGAATACCATTTAAAAATTATACAGGACTAAATGTATTCCAATGTACAAGTTTAACACTTCTAATACTATAGCTTTCTATTATCCAAATTAACAAGTCTAAACAACAGTATATTTAGTATGGTGCAACAAGGAAAGATCATCAGTTCACTAAAATCAGTAGTACAAAAGAGCACACCTCTAATCCCAATGAACTGTTTTTCAGAAAAGCCATAGTAGATACCAATAAGGGAAAAGTGTGGATTGAGTTTGTCATTACTAGAAAAAGGAGTCAAAGCAAGCTTACATAATAGGCAGAAAAGCTTCATAAATATAAATCTAAGTTCAATTCTGAGTTTCCAGCCTCAAATCAAGAGTTTATCACTTTTACGCAGCAATACAAAGAACAAGTCAGAAAATAAAATACAGGATTTTTTTCACATGGTTACATTTATCAAGAACAGTATCCTTTAAGCTCAGAGATGACGTTTTCCCTTTTGCAACTAATGTTGTTCTTATCACTTATACACAGAAAATCATACAATGCTCTCTGCATTTCAGATAACTTAAATATATGATCATCTCAAATCAAATAGTTACCGAGAACTTAACACCTTAGCACTAACATTCTCCCCGATTTTAGTCCCCTTCACCTTCCAAACAAGGAAACCAGAAGGGATGATCTATTCCTACCATAAATACGTATGGGATTCTTCCCATACCGGTTTGCACACAATTAAGCAGGTTCCATAAATCAGTTTCCCAAACTTCAATGCTTGACAGTTTCTCTGAGGCAAAAGGAGAATTCATCACTGGAGATGACTTTTCCTTGCATTTGCACAAGTGACTGCTCTAAATTTTTCCGTGTGAAATAAACACATAATGGGGGTTGGAGAACACTATTTAAAAACTGGGTCATCCCTTATTTGTGTTCAAGAGACACGATCTTAGGGAGGAAAAAGATCTATGAAGCAGAAAAAGGGAGAAAAAAGAACACATGACGGCATCTTCAATGCAGAAGTTACAGCTCTTTGCAAGAGTTAGCACCGGGGGCTCATTAGTTGGTTTTATTTGTGTTTAGTCACTCGGAGTTGAATGGAATCCGACTTCTTAAAAAGCCCTCTCCAACAAAGACACCCTCAGGAATGGCCACTGGAAGGTATAAGAGGGAATGCCCTCAATTCACCTGCGACACCTGCCGGCTCCCCCCAACCCCCTCTTCTTTCCTCCACCTAGGGTCCCCCGATCTTTCTCCAGGGCCCCGGCCCTAGATCACCGTACGCAGGGTCCGTCCCCTTTCCAGCCGCAACCCCATCTAGCCCCCACCCAGGCGGCCCTGGCCCCAGAGATCCCTCGGGCCCAGATCCCTCGCGCTTCCCCGCGAGTGGCTCTCAGCAAGCACGGGCGGCGGCGCTGGAGGGCCTTCCTGGCGCAGCCTCTCCCCCATCATACCCCACAGGCACTGGGGACTCCCCGCCCCCGGAAACTGCAGAAAACTAGGCCTGGAAAGCCAGCCCTAGCCACTCTCCGCCTCCTTGGCGACCCCCCGCAGGCCGGCCATTGGAACTCAACTCCCAGAGTTGCTACCTGCCCAGCGCTCCCCCTGCCCGAGGTGCGCGCCGATAGAGGCGCTACGTTCGGCTCCTCCGCAAAAGGCCTTCCACCGCAGACTCACCTGTCGCCCGCTTCTCCTTCAGCTGCAGACCGATGTAGACCCTCCCAGGGGCATGAAATCGCCGGGTACGCGGCCTGGGCACCCTCGGCAGCGCCGGGCGGGGGACTCGCTCCCGCGGCCGCCGCCGCCTCCACGGGCCGATCTGCGCCTGCGCGGCCTCTCGGGCTAAGTCTCCAGGGGCGCAGCCAGCAGCAAAGGGTAACGGCCGCGAGCTTCGCTCCTGGGCTCACTGGAGGCCGGGAGGTGCAGGCGGCGGATCGCCTAGGAGCTGGCCACTGCGCTGCCGCTCGGACAGCTGACGGCCATGTTTCTGTTCCCGTTTTCTTTTTTCTCCCCCTCCTTCCGCCCCTTTCCACAGACCAGCACTTTCCCTTCCCCCCCCCACCCCCTTTCCGACTGCGGGGGCGGGTGGAAAGGGCGTGGGGGAGGGATGGGGAAGGGAGGGTGGGGCGGGGCAGCGCTCAAGCCCCGCCCCCGGGGAGGGTCGTGGCCCAGCGGCCACTGCTGCCCCTCCTCCCCTGCCCGCCGCGACCGGGACGGCGCGTGGGGGTCCCTGCCGAGCGTGCTTGCGACCCCCTCCTCCGCTTCAGCACGGTGGGTCCTGAATAAAAAAGAAACGGAGGAGAAGGACCCGCGACAGTGTTTTACCCCCTCTCGTGCAGGGTTCGGACTGGCGGTGTTCGGTGGGCTTACTTGCTTTGACGTGAGGCAGGTGACGGCTGCTTCACCAGAGATTTTTCAGAGACGGGGAAAGAGACGCCGAGTCTCTCAGAGTCACTGAGGTAAAGTATCGGTGGATAAGGTCTTCGGAGCAGAAGTTTCCTTCCCAGATGGACGTTGGTATTCCTGGCTGGGGCCTTCTAGGAGGGAGAAAGACCTGCCAACTAGAGTTTCCCGAAGCCCATTCTCCGCTGCAGCGCCCCTTTGAGAGTCCTTGGCCACGCTGCAAGTGGCTTCCTCAGCCGGGATTTTAGGATGGGAACTCCGAAAATGGAAATCGTGGTTTAAATAAATCTTCTCCAACCCCCTAAGTAAGTCAGCCTCCTACACAGACCCAAGCATATTTGATTTCTCAATGCAAATTTTGCGGGCTGATTCTGAAGTTAATGTGGTGAGAAAGAATAGAAACTAGTTATTAGGGAAAAGCAACTGATTTGATACAAATTAGACCTTCTTTACCTCTCTGGCGAAAAAGAAAAAGTTGACCAGTGACTTTGCAGATCCATAGCAGGTCAAAAAGAACTGGTAAGGTTTGTGTATATCTGATGAGTATGTCCATATGTAATGGTCATTTTCCTGAGAATTACGCAGTCCTTATTCAATGTGGGGGGTTGCTAAAATGGGTGACATTGCACTAAAATCATAGTCCCCTGTTGTCAATAGTTCTGAAATTTATTGCATGTATGGATAATGTGAATTGTGTAGCCAATAGTAGAAGCCATTTTCCTAACCACATTAACTATCAAAATGGATTAAATAGAAATGCACAACAATAAAGAGAAAGGGGTTATTCAGTAAGAGTTTGGAGTCATTTTGTTCCCATTGGAAACCAATCTTTGACAACGACAACCTAGACAAAAATTTTTGTTTGTTTTAAAGATTTATTTAATTAGATATATAAGAACTGGGGTATAAGCCAGAGGTGGGTTGGGGTGGAGGGTGAGAGGCATCACCAGAGACAAGAGTGGGAAGCAGAGCAGGCAGATCTACTGAAACACTGCTGAGGAGATTAGAAGTGGGGCAGGAGAGGTCTGCTGTTTCATATGGGTAATTCCCTGGCCACTGGGGAATCTAACTGGTGCTTTCAGTGACTGGCAGTAGCTTGATACTGTCATTAACTACTGTGTCACCAGGAAGGCCCCCGGAGAAAACTTTAAAAAGAATTATAATACATCAGATTTAGTTGGTGGACTACTTATCCTTCCTCAAGTGCAAATTAATTGTAAAACCATTTAACATAAATATGATTTCTTAATGGATGCACTTCATTAGCAGTCATAGATTGAGAACTTTTTCCTGTTTTCATAGTATTTTGCACCCAAAGAGATGAAAAAATTGAAAGAACTCAACATATTTCTTCAATTGATTGAATTTTTTCAGTTTGCAATGTAGTATTTAAGAATTTATTTCTTTCACTGTTTGTCATAGATTTAACTTTTAAGATTTATTATGCATACAAGAACTGGGGTCAGGCCAGAGATGAGAGGATTCACCAGAGTCAGAGTGGGAAACAAAACAGGTCTACTGACTGAAATACACTGCTGAGGGGGGCAATGGACTAGATAGGAGAGTTCTGCTACACCATATGGGTCACCTCCCAGACAGGGGGTTGAACTGGTGCTGCAGTGTCTGTAGATAGCTTCATAGTGCTGCACTTTAACCCCTTCCACCAGCAGGAAGGGCCCATGTCATAGATTTTTATTGCCATTACTTACATCTTTTCATTTTTGCATAATGTCTGATTTATCTCCTCAGGTGTAGTCCCCATAAAATTCCTACCACCGAGTCAACTGTGAGCCATCACCATAGTCTCGTACTCTTCCCACCCCTGTTCTGTGGGTCATATTTTTTTTAAAGATTTACTTATTTTGCATACAAGAACTGAGGCACAGGCCAGAGGTGCAGGGAGGGTGGTGGTGAAAGGATTCATCAAAGAGTGGGGAGCAGAACAGGCAGATTGGCAGCAATACACTGCTGAGGGGAGCAGTGAGCAGGTCAAGAGAGGTCTGCAGTGCCATGTGGGTCACCTCCCTTGCCCGGGATCAAACTTGGACTGCAGTGGCTGAGGATCATTTCATAGTGCTGTGCTTTAACCTGGTGCACAACCAAGGAGGGCTGGGTCATAATTTTTTTTTTTTTTTAAAGATTTTATTTTATTTGTGCATACAGAACTGGGATACAGGCCAGAGATGTGGAGGGTGAGAGAATTCACCAGAGACAGAGTGGAGTGCAGAACAGGCAGATCAACGAAATACACTGCTGAGGGGAGCAGCGGGCGGGCCAGGAGAGGTCTGCCACGCCATGTGGTCACCTCCGGGGCAGGCGGGAATCGAACTCATGAGGAAGCGGCTTTAGATTCTCAGTGCTGTGCTTCAACCCACTGCGCCACCAGGGAGGGCCATGGGTCATAATTTTTTAAGGTTTCTTTTCTTAGGTCTGAAAGCCTTTGATTCATTAATCACCCTTCTCAACTGTACTCATAAGTGTCCATGACTGAAATGAGTTTATTTTCATTTTTACCATTAATATTTGACTATCTAAAAAGTGGAAGTGAGCATTTAGACCACCTTTGGGTAAAATACAGACATTCTAGTAGAAATTGCCTTCTGACGGGGCAGGATTATTATCTGCAGATTTCTGAGGATCATTAATGCAAATGAGTTGAATGGAAATGTTGAAAACTTCCTTAATTTTTTTAAAAAGATTTGTTATTTATTTATGCATACAAGAGCTGGAGTGTAAGTCAGAGAGGAATGAGAGGATTCACCAGAGATGACAGTGGGGAGGAGAACTGTATCTACTGAAATATACTGCTGAGGCAAGACAGCAGAGGTCTGCTGTGCCATGTGGGTTAGCTCATAGCAGCTGGTGATAACTTTATAGCACTGAGACTTTAACCCTTGGGTCACCAAGGAGACCCCAATTTCCTTAAATTAAGCAGGTAAGTTTTGCAGTATGCATGGCTACAGCATGCCACATTATCTTCATCTATGTGTTGCCTTCAAAAACTTCTAAGGACCTCTCTGGTGGTACAGAAGTTAAAGTCTCAGCTCTAACAAGCAATTGCCAACCACTGTAGCTCGAGCTCAATCCCAATCCCAGGCCAGGAAGCCAACCCACATGACACAATAGGTCTCTTCTGTATCTCCCACTGCTCCCCTCAGCAATGTATCTCAGTAGATCCACCTGTTCTGCTCCCAACTCTTGTCTCCAGAGAATCCTCTCACCCATGATCCCTTACCTCTGGCCTAAAACCCAGTTCCTGCATACATAAATAAATAAAATAAATCTTCAAAAACTTCTGAATATTGCTTCTCACAAGTATATTCAAAGACCTTTATATTCTATACTTTTAATCTGTTTTATCAACTCTGACCTTAACAGAAGCATAAATGTCCTCTAATCTGATAATTGTAATAATTGTAATTTTTTTAAATCATGTTTATTGAAGTAACATTGTTTTATAATACTATGTTTTAGGAGTGTAAATTCACAGCTCCACAAATGTATATTATCACATTATTTTTGTAATTTCTTACAACATAAATTCCATACTAGATTGTAAGCTTTGTAAGAGCAGGGCTCACATGTGTTACATATGTGTATTCACATGACATGTTCTTTTCTGAATCCCCAGTCTGTGGAAAATTAACTAATACATTACAGGTTTAAAAAAATAAATGATGAATGGCTAAAATAAAGCACCCATTTTCTGCTACTCTGTCCTTAGGCAAGTTAACTTTTCTGTCTATGAAGTGAATAGAATGATAGTCCTAAGAAGTGAGAGCATCAACTAATTTACAATAAGCCTTGATATATCAATGCCTCTGGCAGACTTGAGCTGAGTCCCCAGCTGAGATGCTCCTGATTTCGTTGCTCACAGAAACCAGGAGATGATAAATATTTCTAATTTCCAGCTGGTTGAGTGATTTGTTACCCTGCAGTAGATAACTAATACAGCACAATAATACTTAGAAAATACCAAGTATTCATTAATGGTAGCTCTTCTTTTACAAAGCATAACTGGATATAATACTTTCTATCCTTTAATGTTCCTCCAAGCTTAGTTTAATGCCTTAATAATAGCAGTTGTAATTGTAGTAAGAGAAGTAGAAAAGTGGACTTTATCTGATCTTTTATTTGTAGACGATCTTTGTGCCAAGATACATTCATTAAAATGTATTTTACATGGTACTTAGGATTTGCTTCAAAATCATGAAATGGAATTGAGGATATGAGTAGCTGGGCTTTAGTAACAGAAAACTGACATATATGAAAGTGAAATTGTTACAGGACTGGGAGAGAGGGGCACCCCTGTACCCCCAAGCCTGCCTGCTCTAAATAGGTTCTGTCATCCACCGCATCAAGACAATAACATGTAAGACTTTAATGAAAAGGGACTTTAATACAGTGAGTATACAACACAAAAGACAGAATAAAATTTCTAAATCAAGCACCTGAAGTTACCCAGCCCCTCATGGGTGTTGGGAGTGACCA